GAGTCTCTGAGCAAGATAGCTGCAATCCCACCACCCCACACAGCCAGGCAGCCTAGTTTCTCCTCTGTCTCCACCACCCGCTAGCCCAGGTTGGGGTGGCCCAGGGTGCCTGACAGGCTCTTGGCCAAGCTCTCCTTGCCTGCAGGCCCTGGGGCACAGGACAACGCTGCAGCGTGGAAGAACGAGAGCTGAGACCTGGGAAAAGGCAGCTCCTGCTGGCATGCATACAGCCAGGCAGCTGGAGCGCACAGGAGAACAAGCCTGGGCACTCATCCACAGTGGGCAGAGACTGGCCCAGGGGCTCTGGAGAAAGCAGACCAACACACTCAGCAGGCCCTTTCATGCAGCTCTAGGACAGGCAGACCTGCAGCAGGTGTGAGTGGTAGATCAGGTTTCCCACTCCTGACAGCTGAAGGCTGCAGAGCAGCTCAAACAGAGGGAGCCAAAGGTTACTGCCTGCCTCGGGAGGCTCCGCAAGGCTGCGAGCCCCACAGCCACACCGAGCCAGGTGCTGGCTGGTTCTGCTCCACCTGCCCCCCTTCCCCATATCAGCAGCACAGGCCAACCCGCTCCAAGCCTTCCTGCTGCCCTGGCCTGCCCAGACCCTCAGGCGTAGGCTGTAACTCTCACCATGTCAGACCCTCATTGCCATGCCAGGTCAGCTCAGCATTGGAGCCCTTCTCCCAGGGTGGCTCAGCCACAGCAAGGCACCACGTGCAGGTAGCTTGCTGCGTGCGTGCGGGCAGCCAGCAGAGACCACAGGGGAGCTGCCGGCTCCAAAGTGCTGTCAGCACTCAGAGGAATAGGGCAAATCAAAGCTGCACAGGGAAGCGCTACACCTGGTGGGATTCCTGGAGTGGGAGGCCTTTAGCCTCCAGGCACAAGTCCTATCATATCCTATTTCCTCCACCCACAACTGGAGCAGCTTCAAGGGGGGGCCCAACCCTAGGGACCTTCGGAGGCCCCCACAGCTCGTGCCAGCCTCCTGCATTTGCTCTGACAGCACTCAGCTAAGAAAAGCAGACAGTGCTTTGCTGCTAGAGCAGCCTGCACTCAGCACCAGCAGCTGGGGCATTAACCCTCCATGCCCTGCTGCCAGGCTCCGCAAGCTCCTTGTGGCCACACAGGCCAGACTTGCGGCTTGTCTCTCACCAAGCATGCATTTCCTGGAACAGGGAGGTGGTGCTGCTTTGAGCTGGTGAGTCACAGGCTCATGCCGAGAGTGGCTACAGGATACCAGGTGCACAGGAAGGACGATCCCAGGACACTTACTGCCTGCAGCAGCGATTGTCAGAAGCAAACATCAAAGAGTGGGCAGGTGCTGAAGGGCTGGGGAGAAGTCCCAGCTGACAGCCCCGGTGGGAACATGCATACCTGTGTCTCCCAGGGGAGGGGAAGGAAGTGAGGACAGCCTGGCTCCCTGGCATGCAGCTGCAAGAGCCTGCACCCCCCGTCAGCTGCTGGCTTCCCTCTGACCAGGCTGGGGGCTCAGGCAGGCTGCCCCTGTGGCCATGGGCACCCAGCACCTTGGCACACATCTCCAACATATTAACCGCAGGCAACACAGCTCTGTTTTGGGCCAGACGTTCCCTTCCCTCCTCTGGTTCAGCCATCCTCAAACAAGCAACTGCACCGGGCCACCACAAAACCTTGAGCTCTACCAGCATCCCACACAATCAGCTGAGCACAGCTGAGAAACAGCTCCCAGAGAGGCCAAGCCACACTTTGCATGGCTCAGAAGGTGGGAAAGCCCAGGCAGGAAATGCCAAGCTAGATTGACGCTGTCCACTGTCAGTGCACTGCTAATGTCTAGAACACAGCGGGGTGGCAGAAGGGCTGGGGGACAAGAGCACAGCTTAGGACCTCTCCCATGTCTGCAGTCCCAGGGGCAGGAAAGACTGCTGCAAACAAGGATCCTTTTCCCAAACACAGAGGCTGGGATGTGCTCAAACCAGCCCTGGTTGCTCTCGCAGCTGGATCCAATTCCATTCGCCCCCACCCACAGGCCCTGGGACACAATGACCAAGTATCTCTGCACCAGGTGTGCGGTCCCACCCTCCCCTGCCTGCCAGCTCATGGGAAGTTTGTCACAGGGGCGTAAAGCAATACCAGATGCTGCCTGCCTGTTGGTACTGCACCAAAGCTCCCACACAATTAGGAGGTGGTGGTTAGAGCCAGGGCTAGCGTGTACGAACACAGACCCACTCCCTCCACCTACGCACATGCACACGCACACCCAGAGCATGCCCAGATGAACCCATCCCTCCAGCTGTGCCCAGGCGTGGGAACATCTGCACGCTTCATGCGCTCAAATGCCGCAGGCAAAACAGCTCCATCCACAGCTGACACTCACCTGAACATTTCAGTTACTTCTCCCTTTGCCAAGGCCACAAGAAGCGGGAATCCAATGCACGCGGGGACCAGGTACAGAAGAGCCGGCTGTAAGTAAAAGAAACAACTGTTAAACCAAACCACAAGATACCTCTCAGGAAGAGCTTGAGGCAAGCTGGCCTTGTCCCCTCTAGGCCTATCACACATGCAGCCCGAGCTTTTGTCACAGCGCTGCACACAGCGGTTAATGCTCAACGAAGCAGGGTTTGAGAGCCAAGTTACCACTGCAACAGGACAAAACCCACGACGTGAGGTCCCAGCGTCCAGGCCCAGCAATCACACTGCCCAGGGAGGGGGGATGCAACCTGGGGTGCCGGTTTCAGCTGCAGAAGGTCCTGTCTCTTGCTTAGCAATTCACCAGGTTCTTCAGAAGAGCCAGGAGAATGTTTCACCCAGGGAAGAAGATAAGTGTTGGGCTAGTCAGGGTGCAGATGGCATCCAATCGCCTTGCTCTAGTGAGACAGTCTGCAAGGAGTGAGGGCTGCTACACCCACCTACCACTTTAATGCCTTGCTAGACACTTCCTCCAGCCCAGGGAGCTGCAGGGAGTTACTAGAGCCAACAGGGTGCGTACAGGGTCAACAGGGCGTCTTCCCACTTCCTAGAGCCCCAGACCAGGCCATGGACACACTAAGGATGCACAGAGCAGCAACAGCACCCACAGCACAGGCATGCCCCTCAGAGCTCCTTTCCTGCATTAAGGATTGTTCTTCCAGGGCAGCTCAGTTCAAGAGAGCCACAAAACACAAGCCAGCCCAACCAAGATGCAGCTCTTTGAAAGGCTGCTGCCTGAACCAGTCTCCCCTGAAAAGGGACTGCTCCGTCTCTGCAGAGACACAGAGCTTTGGGCAGGGGACAGGTACAGACACTGGAAAAGCAGAGCCAAGAGAAGGAACACATCTTTTTTTCTAGCACTATGCGGGCAGGACCCTGTGGACATTTCCTACAGTTTGAGAGAGCCGGTGGAGTGCATCTGTGTGAAGACAGCACAGCTGAGCTTACCTGGGCATGCTTGAAGATGTGCATGATGAATATGGTCAGACCCAGACCAAAGATGTAGGCCACAAAGCTGGTGTAGAAATACGTGTGCGTGTTCTTCTTTAAGCTACACAGAAAGGGGGCAGAGCAAAGCTACCTTCAGCCTGGGGTCTGTGATGCCAGCAGCCAAGCTCCCAGGGCAGAGAGGGAGCCAGCCCAGCTATCTCAGTCATCTCCCACCACGGCAGGGTGCCACGCTCTGCCCTTGCTCACCAGGCTAGCACAGAGACTGCCACCAGTCCCGTGGGAGCAGTGCCAAGGGCCAGACGGGGTAACACTAATGTGAGGTGGTGGGAGGCAAAGGAGATGCACAATTCTGCTGCTGGATGGTTACACAAGAGGTAGGAAGCAATACTGGAGAGCCAGGGAGAGGGTGCCCCCTCTCCAGGGAGGGGCTGCCTTTCCCTGGCACCCCTCTCTCAGCACGTGCCGTTTCATTGCGGGTCAGGCTAAGGGAACCGGGATTCCCGGCAGGTGCAGTCAGGATGTGGGTGGAAACACCTGGAAGAGCTGGCACAGACTGGAGGGTCTGTGCAACAGCAACAGGAGCGCAGTCACACCACCGTAGGTACGCAAAGCAGCCCATTCCCAGCAGCAGCTGAGCCACAGACTTTCAGTGTGGGGCAACTGCTGAAAGCTACACCCTGGTGGTAGGTAAAACTACTCTGCGTAGGAAGGAGCTGCTTTTCCCAATGTGAACAGCAACTCAGAGGCAGCCAACACTGCCATGCCCCGATTCTCATCCACAGGAGCAGCGCTTCTCAGGAAGCGGCGTGCCCAGCTCTTTCCCACACCTGCCTCCACTTCGCCTCACCACCGTGGGGGCACTGGCCTCCCTCCTCTGCTGGTCGGTGAGCCAACAAGGCCCTACGGGGCTGCTCTGTGCTGCTGCCCCAGGTCTACCCCCCCAAGGCTCAGCCCCTGCATTCCCAGCTGCATGTACAGCAGCGCTCCCAAAGTCAGACAATTCACCCCCAGCACTCAGGACTTACCCACAAACCCATTCTGCTCCTGCCATGTTCGTGCCTGCTCTTCCCAGAGCTTTCTTCTGCATCTCTGCACCCCAACAGCCCCCACCAGGTCCCCAACCCAAGCTCCAGGTGACAGCATGCAATTCTGCTCCCAGATTTCCCCTCTCCTTTTCCTCTACAAGGACAGCTCAAATACACTGCAGGATCCAACCTGTTATAGACCTTCCCTATCACCCACTCACCTGATGTCAAAACGCAACAGCAAGGCAATGAAGATCCCTATGGGGAGAAGGGCACAGTGAGAGGATGGAGACCAGCAGGCAGGCTGAGCGGGGAGCAAGGTAGCACTTGCAGCAGCCAGGCTTCCTCTGCTCCACCTCCCTCCACTCAGCTCTGTGCGGCCATGCTTGGGCCGACAGTGCCCTCTCGCGGCACAAGGCACTGAGACAGCAGCCAGCTAGAGCACCCAGTGCCGTGCAGCACCCAGGCCTGTGGGAGGCCCGAGGGACTCCAGCACCCAGCCATGCACAGCGCCAAGGGCCAGCGGGAGGTCCACGGGGCTCCAGCAGCACCAAAGGCAGAACAAGGCAAATGAGGTCGCTCAAAACCACCCACCCAACTCCCCAAAGCCAATTCAGACTTGTGGCCCCAGACAGGATTCCCTCGTCCATCCTCACCTGGAATGACAATGTCTCCCAGACCCAGCATGGCAAAGTTGTCGGCCTCCAGACCCTTCTCCAGCAGGTCCTGAGGGAAAACCACTAGGAGGAGCAGAGAGAGGCACACTGAGGGGGGAAGGATCCCTGTGCTAAGCAGATCTCTGCATCACTGGGCCTGGTGACAAGGGATCTGAGCAGGGCAAGAGCCCTACCCTGTGCCCTAGGCCACCTCCTCCTCTGTGGCTCCCTTCGCTCTCCTTCCTGGGCCAATTCTGGGCACTGGAATGGGCAACGGAGGGATTCAGGGCCTGCCCCATGTGCATGTTCTCAGTCGCAGCTCCCAGCAACCAAATCACTGCATGCTCCACAACAGCACTAATTCACCTCTTTCCTTTTGGGCCACTCTGAGCAGCTGAGACTCCACCTCCAGGGAGGTGGTCTAACCCAACCCACCGAGGTCTCTGCAAACGGTCCCTCTCCAGAGACCTGACCTGGCTCACTGGTGTTTGATAGTGCTGTACAATCGTTCCCAGCAGGTGCAGTCAGGATGTGGGTGGATGTGGGTGGTTTGATAGAGTTGTACAATTGTTTAACAGGTCATGAGCAAGGAGCTTTCTAACAGCTTCTTCCTGCACACAAATCCTACTTTCTAAGCAAAGCTCCAGAAGGAAAATCTGTCGTCAGCAATGACTGCAACGCAGAGGGTGCACAGGGCAGAGACAGCAGGAGAATGGACAGTCCCTGCGTCCCAGGGCACAGGAAAGATCTACTCACATTTTATTGGGGCCTCAAACGATTTGGCAACAGTCACCATCACGTTGGTGCCAAAGACCTAGGGGCAAGCAGAGGAGTCTGAGGTGACACAGCTGCACAAGGACACAGACACTCTCAGCTGCAGCCTCACCTCAGGGTCAGGAGCAGCCACAACGGCAGGAAGCAGCCAAAGAGCCATGGAACTCTGGGCAGATGAGTCCTGCCAGCAAAACACCAAGGCTTGGAGCAATTGAGCCCAAATCCCAAGGAAAAGGGCACCAGACAACGCTCAAGGAGGTAAACACACCAAAGCTGTCCTGTTTTCAGAGCAGCAGCTGGGATACCGCTCACTTCACACAAGCTGCGCCAAAACTACCACCCTGTCCCTCCCCAACATGGAGCACCATGGGTCACGTACAAGAAGCAGCAGCACTGAATGGGTTTTGTTCAACATTGATTAGTCAATTCAGTACAAAGTCTAAACAACATGCAGGATGTTATCTGAGGATAGGAGATCTCAATCGAGAGCATCCCAGCCAACACATCAGCCAGCAGGCTTCCAAAAGAGACTGTAGCAAAATGCAACTGATCTGACAGTTGCTCCGACATCATTTATTTGTATTGCACTATCAGCTTTAAATACTGGCATCTTTTGTGGGATGGAAGGTAAACATATAGGTCAACCACCCTGATTTCTATTCTTTTCAACTTCAAGCCTCCGATCTTGACTATACCAGCAGAAGGCATACAAACCAAGTGCTGGTTAGCACACCTGGTGAGCAAGATCCAAGCGCTGGAGATCAAAGAGAAACCTTAAAGCAGGCAATCGGGCATCAGAATAACTACTACAAGGTGCAGCGGTGTCTGACCATTGCTAGCCCCATCTAAGGGCAAAACATGCAGCAACTGCCATGAAGTGACAGAACTCTAAAACGAGACCAGGGAAACACCACAAAGCACCATATAAAAATTCACCCCAAGACCATGCAGGGCTCAATATCACAATATCATTGGTTCACTGAGTAACTTCGCTTCTTTCTTGAAAGCCTTCTGGGATCTCACTGTGATTAAACCTATGCTAAGATCTCAGAAACGCCTTTCTGCGAAGCCACTGACAACTGTGCTCTGACAGTGCACTCTGCTGAGGAAGTCCGGATTAACTACAGCAAGCAAGTGGACAGTGGCAGAGGTTGTGCTGCTGCCGTCTCTCCAAAACACTGAAGAAGTTCTCCTGAATTAGAGACTTGTAGCCTATACAGTCCCCAACTCCCCCATGCTGCCTCACTGGCACTGAGCGTGTGCGGGAGGGACTGCAATCACACCCCAAGCACATTTGGTGTGCTAGGTCAGAAGGTTGAATCATCTTCAGCTCAGCGCGCTGCACTGGCACACAGACATACGAATCTAATAGCTGGGGCTGTTAATAAGCCTATGAAAACATGGGCGGCACCAGCTGAGTACAAAATAACACACAGTAGCCAGGCTTAAAGAGGGAAGAATTACTCAGGCAGCTCTAGAGCTGCTGGACAGACCTCAAGCTATGCAAGGCTTTAAGACATTTTGAAATAGAAAAATTCAGAAGATGGAGGTAAACAGAAAAGACCGAGGAATCGAGACATTACATACAATTAAGGAGAAAGAGCGATCCACCGCCACTGTAGGAAGATAAGGAAAACCTTAAGATGAAGATGGCAGAGCATTGTACTGGCTAAAGGGAAACGACTGGAAGCCTTCCAGCATTTGGTGTTTGCGCAGAGCAACAGAAGGACGCCAAAGCTGGCAGATGGTAGAGCTGAGGCACAGCCCATACAAGGAAGATCAGCATATCCCAGGAACAGTTAGGTGGATGCAGGTAGCAGGAAGGGCAAAAATCACAGGTTTATGATCAATTAACAAGAATCTTCACTATGAGCTGGGGACTCTGCTGTTGAAGGTGAGAAAGACCTGACATACTAACTGATCAGAGATGACCACCAGTATGATGTGGCTGTGGAACAGGCAAATTCATTCTAGCCAAATCAGGGCCAGTGTTGCTGGCAGAGCACGGTAGTAACAGCCCTAGCCAGGCACTGGGAAGACCTTAGTCAGGAATACAGGTCACCAGAACTGGTATGCTGAACACCTAGGCAGCCTATAACAGCAAGGCTGTCTGATGAGATCCCTGCCAGCCCTGGACTAGGCCAGAAGGTAAGAGAATATACATTTGCCGAGCTGAATTTTGTGAGTGTTCACTTGTCATCATCTCCACTAAACCTTCCGGGCTGAGAAAGTGGAAATCCTGGCTGTTAACACATGTCCAGCCAGTGTGTGGCCTCCAAGCAGGCACAACATCCCACGTGTGCCTTCCACGAATGGCTGCACCCCCCCAACCTGCCCCAGGGAACGCTCCCGTTTACCCAGAAGACGTCATAGATGAAGAGGCCCCCGAGCAAGATGCAGCCAGTGCTGACGTTGTTCAAATGCAGCAGCTCCACCCCGTTGAGGGAAAACGCCAGCCCAAAGAGATTGTTGGCAATCCAGTGCTGAGAACGACAGGAAAAGGAGAGATGGATCCCACTGCACACAGAGCCACAGCCCCACACTGCAGACGCCTTGTCGACAAAGGCGTCCAGGCAATCCCTGGCCTCCCCACAACGCTGCTGCTCTCTTACCTTTCTCAGTAGGTACCAGACCCCAACAACACTGCTCATGGCCAGGCATACAAGATCCTTCGTGTCAAATTCATAATTCACTATTTCTGCAATAAAACACAGAAGTCTGATTTTGGCTGGCCCAGGCAGCTTTTCTTCCCACGCAGGGCAACAACACAGAGCTACAATGCTCATGGCCCAAATGAGGGGATTCTACCCATACAAGTGGCCATGCCCACAGTAACCACGTGCAAATTCAGCCCACAAGCAAGCAGCAAACACTGGCAAGCCAAGGTCTTTGCCTTCAGCCAGACTCTGCCGCATGGACAGCATCTGTGATCCTTCTGTCAATAAGGAAATTGGATTCAGACACTGTCTTTTGGCAGGGAAGGGGCCAGTTCTTCTCCCCCTTCCGGGAGCCAGTTAACTCCTGGTGGTACTACTAGAAGAAATAACCCCCTACCAGTAGAGGTACTGGGCAGGATCCTTACCAAAGCACCTTCTACCACTGCAAAGATTTAAATCAAATCAGTTAAGGCAGAAAAAAAAAAAAAAAAAAGAAATCAGGACTACATTAACGGTAGCACATTTAATATTGATCATTAGCTCTATTTTCAGAGCACTTTGTTTCTGGGATTTCCCTGCCAGCCAGCGGCAACAAACTGGGAAAGCGCCAGCCACTGTTAAGAAGATGCACGCAGCAGTCCCAGCTCTGCGTGGACACATAGGGCTTACAGTGGCTACAGAATCACAGAAGACAGCAAGAGTCAAGTCACTGAGGAGATTGTTTTAAAGGGCTGAAAGTCAAAACACCAAGCAAGCAAAAACAGTAGTAAAGGCAGAAAGCATTCAGGCCCCTAGAGAGAGCGGGGAGCTCACGTACCTTCCTTGGTCTCCCCGGAGCCCTGGGTAAAGAGAAGCTGGTACTGTTTGTTGGGGAAATTTGCAGGAAAGAATCTGTTCATCATGGGGCTGAAACAAGAGGTGCAGAGAAGGGCAGTTCTACAGAAACCCCAGCACAACGCACTGCCCAGCACCTCCGTGCAGCAGTGTCAGAGCACAAACAGCAGGCCCCCACCCTCTCCCCTCTCAAAATGAGGGAAATGCCAAGTTTCACCATATCGGGGCAGACACAAGGTCCAGCCCCAGGCACACTAAGCAGCACGCACGGGAACTTGTCCTGTCCGGGAGTTTGATCAGCCTGTAGGTAACTGTCCCCAAAAACACTCTGGGCCAATGGGCACATGCCAGCACAGAGCATCACCCATGAAATGGGAGAGCCTATCCCAGACCTCAACACCTGCCCTGTGCCCCACAGCACCGGGCACAGCACCCCAGCCGCCCAGAGCTGGCCACCACAAAGTGATCTTCCCACAGAGCTGGGAGCAGGGGTGCAAAGCC